GGATTGTGTAGTAGTTTTCATGTTACATTGTTTATTATTCACAGAGTTTGGAGTGATTGAAGTTCTGTTTGCTTGCAATTGATTTCATCGCAATTGCTCGATTGCTGATTTTGTGACTTGTTCGTTTATTCTAATTTGAACAATTTTGGTTTGAATCACTAAATGTATATATGAGATCTTTCTATTGCAATGGTGTATGTTTTGATTCTCATTGATATGATTTTTTTAGGGTTTTTGTTAAAATGCTAAATGGGGTTGATTGATCAAAATCTGTAGGTTTTAAGTTCTGAATCACAAGCATAATAATCACAAAAGCATGAGACTATCATCAGCTGAGGATCGAGTAGGCACTCTTAGTGCTGGTGGTAACCGGGATGCTGAATTACTCTTTCGTACAAAGCCAATATCTGAAATCAGAAATGTTGAGTCCACCACCAACAAACACATTCAGGACAAGAAGGAGGAGCTCCGCCAACTGGTGGGCACACGCTACAGAGACCTAATTGATTCTGCAGACTCAATTCTGCAAATGAAGTCAGCATGTGAATCCATCTCTTCCAACATTTCCTCCATCCACCAGCACATCCGCTCCCTCTCTGCATCCCCTATATCTGAAGCCCCCAAACTCCAAAGTTCAGACCCTACACGCCTCCACACTTATGGGATTGCCTGTCGTGTCAAATACCTAGTTGACACTCCGGAGAACATATGGGGTTGCTTAGATGAGTTCATGTTCTTGGAAGCAGCTGCTAGGTACATCCGAGCAAAGCATGTTCATTCAAGATTGATGCACGTGAATGGTGATTTTGATCAGCATAAAATACTGTCCAATTTCCCTTTGCTTCAGCACCAATGGCAGATTGTTGAGAGCTTCAAGGCTCAGATTTCCCAGAGAAGTCGTGAGAGGTTGCTGGATCGAGGCCTGGGAATTGGGGCCTACGCAGATGCCTTGGCTGCAGTGTCTGTTATTGATGAGCTGGAGCCAAAACAGGTGCTGGGGTTATTTCTTGACACCAAAAAGTCCTGGATAGTGCAGAGATTGAGTTCCTTTTCTGGTAATGCTACTTCTTCTGCAGTGGTTTTGGTATTTTGTGATGTTTTGAGCATTATAGAAGTTTGTGTAGGACAAGTAGGAGAGTTATTTTTGCAAGTCTTGAATGATATGCCTCTCTTTTATAAGGTTATTTTGGGTTCCCCACCTGCCTCTCAATTGTTTGGTGGAATCCCTAATCCTGATGAGGAGGTTAGGTTGTGGAAATCATTTAGGGATAAATTAGAGTCCATGATGGTTATGCTTGATAAAGAGTACATTGCTAAGACTTGTTTGAGTTGGTTGAGGGATTGTGGAAGACAGATAGTCAATAAGATTAATGGAGGATATCTGTTTGATGCCATTGGTAGTGGCCAAGAGCTTGGATCTGCTGAAAAGTTGATACGGGAGACAATGGACAGTAAGGAGGTGTTGGAAGGGAGTTTGGAGTGGCTCAGGAGTGTTTTTGGCTCTGAGATTGAGTTGCCTTGGAGTAGGATCAGAGAGCTTGTCCTAGAAGATAATTCAGATCTTTGGGATGAGATCTTTGAAGACGCTTTCCTTAGGCGAATGAAAATTATTATTGATTCAGGCTTTGAAGATTTGACTAGAGCTGTGAATATTTCAGGCTCGATTTCTTCCATTGGGGTGACTTCTGGTGAAAAGGTGGATTTCCAGGCATATCTAAATAGGCCTTCTACTGGTGGTGGGGTTTGGTTTATAGAGGCTAATAATATTAAGAAGCCTGGCCCAATTTTGGGACATAAAGCATTACTTGAGGAAAATGATCTTCAAAGTTGTCTTAATGCTTATTTTGGTGCTGAGGTCAGTCGAATTAGAGATGCAGTGGACAATTGCTGTCAAAGGATTCTTGAGGACTTGTTGAGTTTCTTAGAGTCTCCCAAGGCTTCTCTAAGACTGAAGCAGTTGGCTCCATATTTGCAGAATAAATGTTATGAAAGCATGTCAACCATATTGTCAGAGCTCAAAACTGAGCTTGACAATTTGTTTGCAGCCATGGAAAATTACAGCAAGGAAGGTCAGCCTGTGTCTCCAGCTACAATTGTTGAGAGATCACTTTTTGTTGGGCGACTATTATTTGCATTTCAGAACCATTCAAAGCACATTCCAGTAATACTTGGTTCTCCAAGGTTCTGGGCAAAAGACACCCTTGCTGCAGCTTTTGACAGGCTGCCTTCCCTATTGAGGAGAGCTTCCATTGATTCCCCTGTCTCTGAGGGCATTGGAAGGCAAACACCATCTAGCTCTAGAAGGCAAACTTCAGCTGCTACTGCTGCTTTGCTTGGATCAAATGAAAGTGCAAGCCCAAAACTTGATGAACTTAATAGATTAACACGAGATCTATGTATTAAAGCTCACAGCCTGTGGATATCATGGTTATCAGAGGAGCTTTCAGTTATTCTTTCCATTGAACTTGGACAAGATGATGGATTGTCTGCAACAACTGCCTTGAGGGTAAGCTGTGTTTGATGCATGGTTCTTATCATCATTATTCTTTTCAATTATTATGGGTATTTTATTCTTTTATCATCAAATTGTGCTTCCTCTTATAGTTTTGATTATTGGTTCAAATAATCTCCTGTGATATATAGAGAGAGAGAGAGTAGAGATCCACTTACACACCAGTCTTACACATCACACTTACACAGAATCTCAACCATTTACCTCTCCACTTTCAATGGTTGAGATTTATTCACATTTGTTAAAGATAATTATTTTTTTCATCTTAAAAGTTATGATAAATCTCAACCATTGAAAGTGAAGAGATGAACGGTTAAGATTTTGTGTAAGTGTGGTGTGTAAGACTTGTGTATAAGTGGATCTCTACTCTCTCTATATATATAGTAGAGATCCACTTACACTATATATATATATATAGAGTAAAGATCCACTTACACACAAATCTTACACACCACATTTACACAAAATCTCAACCACTTCACCTTTCCACTTTCAATGGCTGAGATTTATTCACATTTATTAAAGATAATTATTTTTTTCATCTTAAAGTCGTGATAAATCTCAACCATTGAAAATGGAGAGATGAACAGTTAAGATTTTGTGTAAGTGTGGTGTGTAAGACTCGTGTGTAAGTGGATCCCTCCTCGTATATATATATATATATATTTATTTATTTATTTCCTAGCTTATTCAGATTATAATTCTTCAGTCCTGGATATGGCTGAAAGGCTGACAGTGACATTAGATGGTTTCTAATTAAAAAGATTGTCTGTTAAAACAGTTACAATCATAGAATATGAAAGAATTATGCAGTGTAACAGAATAGGTTATTGTTATTCTCAAAATTAATTTGAATTTAAACCTAGGATCAATATTTTGTAATTTACACAACCATTGCAAAATGAATTTCATTTTATGAGGAATTGTAGATTTTGAGTTTTTAGGACTGCTTCAAAATCTGCCCTCATTTTCTATGGTGGATCTTGTGAGGTGACATACATTCTATTAAAGCATTTGTTTTGAAATTTTGTCAAGTGAAGAGGTGTCATTTCATTTATCAGTAAGGTGTTGAAAGATATTATTATGCTATGTAATTCAGCTATGACTTATGAGAAACTTGAATCTCATTAGTTTTGTAGAAACTTTGTTTATTGTTTCTTTGTGAGCCATTAACTTTATTTTAAAATTATTTTAATGGATGCCTAAAAAAAAAAAAAAAAATTATCTTAATGGTCTCTAACATTGTGATCATCGTGTTCTATAGTATCACACTCTATGGTCTTGGTCACTTCAGTCTTCTTTTTTTCTTTGGTGCGTAGACAATAGAGTATATTATGGATGCATCACATCAATTCATCTTCTGATTCTCAATATTGGACAGGGCTGGGAAGAGACAGTTCTCAAGCAAGAACAGTCTGATGAAAGCCCATCAGAAATGAAAATATCACTCCCATCCATGCCTTCTCTCTATGTGATCTCTTTCCTATGTCGTGCATGTGAAGAAATTCATAGAATTGGAGGCCATGTACTGGACAAATCAATTGTGCAGAAATTTGCATTAAGCCTTTTGGAAAAGGTAATTTCTTTTCACAGTATTTGCTTTTTGTTCTGCAAACTCTCACACTTTCCTGTTTGTATTGCTCCAAGAAAAGAATGATGTATGTAGTTTTTTGCCATCTTCTTATTGTCACAATGCTTCATAATTTATTTCATCTGAATGTTGATTATTGAGGTGTTGATAGTGAGATCACATTTCTTCCCTTTTATGTGATTTCTTTTCCTATCTGTATTACTCTTTTGGAATTGATAATGTGTTAGAAGTTTTTTCCCTTCCATCAGTTGGTTTCTTTAGCACTTGTTTGATGGGTGCTTTGGGTGATTCATATTTCTGGGATTTAATGGAAATGCATGGATGTACTGAATTGAAATTGGAATGTTAAAGCTTTTATTTAATCTTGAATATGTTATCTAAGGGATGCATTCTGTTATTTGGTTAGTGTCAAATGAACACCCACTATGGTTTGCTGGATCTTAGGCTTCTAAAGTTTGTATCAAGCCCTTTGGGTATCAAAGCTAATTGAGCGCAAGTCAAATTGTATAGTAACCTAGTTGACCATGAATTGTTGGCTTGTGAGAACTTGATTCACTTGCTCCCCCAACACAGTAAACACTTTATACTAAAACCTTTTATTCTTTTCCTATGTAGAGACTGCAGAATTAAATTGCTTTACAAGAAAAGACTAATTAAGTGCCAAGTTAGATGATAAAGAATTCTTTATCTTAGAATGAATGTTTACCAGTGGTCCTTTCCATTTTTTTTTATTACTGATTTTTTTCTTAAGTTCACTGTATTGTAGAAAATAGGTTTCAATTTTATTTCTTAACTCTGTGTAACACCTACAGCGGGCTAAGAGATCTATTTTTTCTTCTATATTTTTGAATATTGATGAAAGCAGGTTGTTGGTATTTATGGTGACTTCCTTTCTACCAGAGAGACCCATCAATCTCCAGTGTCAGAGAAAGGAGTTTTACAGATTCTATTAGACATAAGATTTGTTGCTGATGTTCTTTCTGGTGGTGATTCCAAATCCAATATGAATGAGGAGTTATCTCGAACACCAAAGACCAAATCATCTTTCAGAAGAAAGCAGGAGCAGGTGCAGATAAAGTCAGCGGTTAGGGAACGCATTGCTGGTTTAATTAATCATCTTTCACAAAAGTTGGATCCAATAGATTGGCTTACGTAAGTCTCTTTGTTTTGTATCTTACCTTTATTCTTTTCCATGATGAAGTATGGAAATTTACTTTCTCTTACTCTTAGGGTTTATGTAGAATTGGTAAAAATTTTACATTTATACCATTTTTGGTTCCAGAGAAGGGGGAGCGGGTGTTAGATACTAGATTTGCATTTCTTGCATCTTCCTCTGACTAAGTGATGCAGCTGCAGAAGAGCCTAATTCTTTGTATATTTTTTTTCTAAAAAGTAGTCATGTAATTTCAAAATTATTCATGCTTAACATTCTTCTCTTCAGATGAGTCATTACATAGGAGTAAGAGCATTGACAATTGATCCTTTTTTTTTCTGACAAAGTGTATTTTCTGAATTCTGTTAAGATATGAGCCATATCTTTGGGAAAATGAGAGACAGTCATACCTGAGGCATGCCGTCCTCTTTGGGTTCTTTGTTCAACTTAATCGGATGTACACAGATACCATGCAGAAACTACCTACAAATTCAGAGTCAAACATTATGAGATGTTCTGTGGTTCCTCGGTTCAAATATCTTCCAATCAGGTTAGTTTTCTTTGTTCTTCACGAACATTGAAGACATCCTATTTTCTTAATAAACTTAGCATTATAGGGTATTTATGTTTCTAAATGGGTTTCTTATGCAATTGCATTTTTGTTATCCAGTGCTCCAGCACTGTCTTCTAGGGGGACAGCTAGGTCATCCATTCCAGCTGCCTCAGATAATATTATTTCAAGAGGTTCCTGGAGATCTTATCCAAATGGAGAACTTTCACAAAAAGTTGATATGGATGACAATTCAAGTCTTGGGGTAGCAGCACCATTTTTGAAGTCCTTCATGCAGGTACAGTGCTGTCTACCTCTCTTATCCCTTAAGATGTTTGTATTATAATTACGAGAAAAGCTTAATTTATTTCTTGAAATTTGTACCTTTTGCTGACCTTATGTTTCAGCTCAATAGTACATAGGAGGGATGGTTTAGGGGTTGTTCTTCGTTTGAACTTTGGCTACAAAAAATTAGACTTGAGTAAGTTGAGGAACTGCAAATCCCTTCAAATTTAGTTTGTCCTTTTATGTAGATGAAAGTTCTCAATATTTTATCATTTACATGTCAAAATTGTTCATTTGGGAAAATTATTTCTGTTTAGATATGATCAACATCTCTTCCATGTATCTCTTTGTTCCATCCCAATTATACCTTTGACAACTATCACAAAATTCTCAAAAGGAGTTACCACCACTCACCGCTAATAGTAGCTCACCCTTATTTTTATTAAACCAATAGTGTAGCAGCTGAAGGAGAAGTGAGCAATGAAATTAATTTATTTAAAGCAATGGAATCTCCCTATTAAGTTGTCTGCTAAATTAGCTTTACTAATGGGGCAGTAGTGTTCAGGACAGCTAATCACTTCTGTCCTGCCTTCTAATTGAGTTCCTCTTGAGAAAAATCATTGCTTCCTCACAGAATTTAAATTCTTAATGATACCCATTTTCTCTAAGAATTCTTGCAGTCTACCTTTAAGTTGTCAACTTAGCAAAATTTGGGTTATTAATAAGTTGGAAGTTACTTGTTGAAATTGTATAAACCATGGTTTTTCCATGCTTTGTTCCCCATTTTTTGGCTGTACTTGTGGAGGCGAGGTTTTGATAATAATTTTTCTTGTAATGGCCAGGTTGGGAGCAGATTTGGAGAGAGCACTCTGAAACTGGGATCTATATTAACAGATGGACAAGTGGGCATATTCAAGGATAGATCAGCAGCTGCTATGTCAACATTTGGTGACATTTTACCTGTGCAAGCTGCTGGTCTTCTTTCGTCATTTACAGCTACCAGATCAGATTCTTGATTCCCGACCAGTCATTGTCCAGTTAAAATATATGGCTAATTTGAGTGAAGAGGAATGAATACCCGAAATTTGCAGAACATGTAGAACCAACAATGGTGGGATGGAGTATGATTCACTGTCTAACACCACATGGCAAGGGCATATACGTATATAACTGTTCAAGAGAAGAAACAAGATATGGTGGTTGTAAGTGTTGAACAAAATTGCCAGTAGCCAATAACCATAGAGGGCAAGAGAAATGGAGTCTGAATTGACCTCAGTGGAATCAAGGCAGTAAATTTTCTCAGCCTGAACTCCTTAGAAGATGAAATAATGGTTGCAGTTTTTACTGGTTTATATATTTGGTGCATTACTGTGAATATGGAGACCACTCTGCCTTTTGCAAGACATATCTTGGAAAGGAGGTAAGATGATGTTTTGTAATCATGTGGATACGGGAGAAGATTCTCCAGTGTCTTGGCATGAATGGCATACAACTTTTCAATGATACTGGAGTCTTCAGCCTCCATGAAAAGCCTTAGGTAATGTTTTATTGATTTTTTTTGAAAAATTTTTTGTTACAGTATCTGTCTAATGTTTTCTCTATGTTACTTTGTTTCCTTTTCCCTGTTAATTGGTATTCAACGGATGATTTAAAGCAAAGGGAATTCAATGTAGAAGGCAAAATTGATAGTTGTATCCATTTTTACAAAAAGTGAGTAGAGTCAATTTGTACAACTATTAGTTGGGATATTGAACCTTAGAAATCTCTAATTTTGTCATGTTCATGCCAGTTGCTTATCACTCATTAGTCCAGGTCAAATCGTTAAGGTGTACGGTAGAACATTCTCTATAAACTCGGTTTCTAAAATTTGAAACTAAACAGGACATTTCCCTAGTTATCATTCTAACATCAAGTCTTTTATCTCTTTTTTTTTTTTCTCAGAATAATTTTTTTTATTTTTTTTTAAATTAAAAATTTGGAAGCAATGTTTTTGCAAAGAAATAAGAAATAAAGAAAAAAATTTTATAATAGAATGATTAATTAAAATAAATGAATAACAATATAAATAAAATAAAAAATAATTATTTATTTTTAAAAAAATAAAAAATAACAATTAATTTAATATAAATGTTAAATTAAAAAAATATAATGGTTATTTTGGTAAGAGGGAGTATTTGTTGCTCTAAAATTTGTCATTACACTGTCTTAACCGGAAGTAATTGGTTTCGATTTCAATTATTATGGGGTAAAAAAAGCAAATGAGCCCTCAAATTTTTACTTTTGTGTCACACCAACCTCTACACAAATTTAAGGCGAATCTGTTCTTTTTTCTTTTTTGATCTTGGTTCTACAATTAGAGGTAATTATTTTCCATTTCTTATTCCATTTTACTCGCATGTTATATGATTCAATTTCAGAATCTCTTACTTACAGTTGAAAGAAATGACCATTAAATTATTTAAGTAGTTAACAAGGCAAATCGGTTCTAAGAGCTCAAATTGTTGTGCCAAATTTGCAGGCATCAGTACTTTATTAACTCTATCCATTTTGAAACGAAAGTTGGTGGTTGATAAACCCATTAAAAAAAGAACTGAATATGTCATGACAATATAAGTTCAAAGCTAATGTTTTGCATAATTTAGTAATTATAATGTATATCACTTTTCAAAGTAATTATCAAGTTTTAACACAATTTTTGCAGTAATAAAATACATAAAATGTCATGTCTATAGTATTATACAACAATTCCAAACATTGTCTAAATTGGTTTTGGACAATTCCAGTTTCTCAACCCTAAATTTGTGCTTCATATCAAGTTAGACAAGAATTATAAGGGGACATGTATATGTTACTGATAACATTTAAACAGCAATAAGGATAGTTGAGTCAACTCTATCTTCTTTCTTTCTCTCTTATTATGTCTCTTTACCTCTAAAATTAAGTTTGACTTAATGGTAATTTTGTAAATACTTCGATGTTGAGGGCATTTTGGACATTGGCGAAACTTTTAAGTTGATGGGTGGCAATTGGTGTAATTTTTGTAAATTTTTTTTTGTTTATTTTGTATTTGTGTAAAAATTATTTTGTCTTTTGTGTAATAGCATTTGTTGTAATTATTGTATATTTTATGTCTTTTTTTTATTTACTTAGAAAGTTTGTTTTGTCTTTTTTTGTATAATCACATTTGGTATAATTAGATTTTTAGAGAAGTTTTATAATATGGTTCGCCCTAAAGAATAAAAATATCAATTCTAAGTGTAAAAGACTAAATTATCATTAATGAATGTGAAATGGATAATTTGGTTTTTTCATACCCAGGACTGTTTTTTTTGCAGGGCGTATTGTAACTTCAACTTCTTAGTTTTTTCTTAGTTTTTTTTTCCATTTAAAATTATTTTGGCAATAATTATTATTTTTATTTTTACTTTATATATTCATGTGAAAAAAATCTATTTAGTCTGATAATAAAATTGATTATTTGTAAATAAAATAAATTAAATTTTGTGAAAACAATCTTACTTTCACAAAATTTTATTAGAGTCTTAAAAATCATTTTAACTTATTAAAACATTCCAAACCTAATCATTTAAGATAACGTTATTTTTTTATGTATTTTAGTTTATTTTTTACTTTTAATAATAATTAAAAAAAATACATCACAACAATTAGCAAAGCGGGATGGATAATGCTAGTTGATTAAGAGGATAGGTTGGGGGACAGAATGCATGTAATTAAAGCAGTAGGTGATGTAATTACATATAGTGTGATAGAGATGAAGTGTAGTTTTCATTCTTGTTCTTATCTGGAGAATGGGAATGGGGAAGTGTGAAAAATGCCAAACTCCAAGAAGGAATAGAAAGAAGAGTAGTGAAGGTAGGGATGAATTGGCACAATGAATTGGCACTGTCCCATAAATGCCAATGCCATTAATACTGTTAATATTTAAGAATTAATAAACTAACATAAAAAAAAAAAAAATAGTACAAGTACTATATATGAGTGTAGTTATGGCCATAAATTGTAGGTTAAAATTTCAATTTGGTCCCTAAACTATTGTACAGACCTTTGATTTGGTTCCTCAACTAAAAAAATCTTTGATTTGATCCTTGAACTATTATACGGAGCCTTGATTTAGTCCATACTGTTTACTAATTTAATTCCAAATTGATCATTCTGTACAAAAAAACTTAACGTGTTCGTTATTTAATAAGAAAAAACAGTAACTTAACGACCACATATTATGTTAATAACGAGACACGTCAATTATTTTTTTGTGTGGAAGGACCAACTTGAGGTAAATTGATAAACAGTAGAGACCAAATCGAGGATTCATACAATAATTTAGGGATCAAATTGGAGATTTACCTAAATTATATTGTTAGGGCTATATATATTTTTGTTTTTTTTTCTATGAAAATTTTTAATTTGTGTCCTTAAGACAAATGTTAAAATTGCATTTATTATACTTTTTATTATTAATTTAATGAAAATTCAAATGGTTGAAGAGGTTAAGCTATGTGAGGCTCCATTCGGAAATAGGAGAAGACTTCGAATTTCTTAAGACTAATGAAATAATTTGATTAATTGAAATAGTTTTTCTTTCCGTCCCCTCAAACCAAATATGTTGTTCTAAAAGAATCAAATTATTTTGGGATGTTTGCTGTGCAGATGGGAAATTATGCTATTAGTAGAGATCAATTGTTAATTTACTTTGTATAAGGATTAGAGTATATAATACTTTTATTTTTTGCTATTAAAACAAAAAAATAATAATAAAAAACTTAAATAGAGCACGACTTGGTAGTAACTCTTTTTTTTTTTTTTAAAAAGAAGTTATGTATAGTTAAAGTGTCTTCAATCTAATATTTATACACCTTTAGACTAATCTCTTCTTAAATGATTTTAGGATACTATTTGATGCATTTAAAAAATTAATTTTATTAAACATTGACTCACAAGAATTGAACTTTGGAACTCTAGGAGCTTTTATTTTCTCCTTCAATAATATTTAAAGGGATTTAATTGCCAAAAATTACAAAAGTAAAAATTTAAAGGAAAAAATAAGGATCTACTTAGTATTGTTGCTACCTTTTGTTATTAATTGGTTTCGATTTTTAAATTTTAAACAATTAAATTTAAAACTAAAATTGATAACTTGTTAAGTACAAAATTTTTAAGTGATTCATTGGAAAAAGTGTAAGTTTTCATTAATGGTAATCAAATTTTTTTTAAATTTAATATTATTAAAATTTTGAAAACCAAAAAGAACATATCACAAAACGGATGCTAAGTTTGATTGTTAATTAATGTAAGGTTATTAATTCCTTATATTTTTCTCTTCCTCATTCGCATTAAGAAAAAAATAAAAGTGTTTTGGTGCATTGCAAAACACTACTAAATATTAAACTAAAAAAGATCTTTAATATTAAAAGATCGAACGGTTTATTTAATGATTAATATTTTATAATTTAATATAATTTAAACTTTACAACACCAAATTTAAAAAGGAACGTGCTGATTATCATATTGCATTTTTGTGCAATTAGGCAAAGAAAAATGAAGAAATAAAAGGAAAGGAAGAACGTGCATATTGGAAAAAAAAAAGAAAAGAAAAGAAAGAAGAAGTGCATGTAAAATAAGATGCATCGATGGGACACATACATGCATCCCATATATATACATGCACGACAATATGTTAGTAAAATATAATGTATGCGTCAGCAGTTGTAGGCGTGATAAAATGACGAAATATGATATGAGAAAACGCTGCCATGCATTTACAGTAGAAGTCATCATTGCACAAGTACGTCAGTATTATAATTATAATTATTTTTTTTTCGTTTTTTTATGAATGTGTTAGCCAATTATTAATGTGTGAATATTTAGTATAATAATTTAAAATTAACAATTAGTAATTTTATTTAATTTAAAAAATAAAATTATTTGAATTATTAAAATAATTATTATTAAGTACAAATTAAATTAAACAAAGTTACTAACAATTAATTTTAAATTATTATCTGTACTAAACATCCCTTAGAACAGTTCAAAGTAACATTTTTAAATTATATTTGGGTTTAAACACCTTTTGAACACTAATAAATACTTTCTATGCTTTAAAATATATTTATTTCAAATTAGATTTTATATTTTAATTTTTATGTTTAAAATAAATAAAAGATTTTATTTTTAAAATAAATAAATTTTTTTTAAAATAAATAAAAAATTTCATTTTAATTTTATCATTATTAATTTATTTTAATTATTATTTTATCACAAAATTTTTTATTGTTTATTTATTCTTGAAAGCAATTAAATTAAAAAAATAAAAATAACAATTATTTTAAAATAAAGTCAAGTATAAATAAATTTATTTATTATTAAAAAAAGAAAAAAAAGAAAACTATAACTAGTGGAGGTCACCAAACAACAAACCTTGTCCACGTCGAGACTGCAAATTTAGGATTGTATGAATCGGGTTTGTAATTTCCACATGGTGTCATGTATGTAATATGTGGTCCAACTTTTGCTTTTTGTTTTTTTGTATTTTTATTGATAAGAAAAAGGAAAATTAGAACAT